TCTGCCCTTTTGTTTATTTTTTATTAAAATTGTAACATAAAAATGTCACTCTGAAGAAGAGCCTTGGGTTCATCATTCCCAGCTCCCCTTCCCTGGGAAGAGAATACATTACCTTTTAATCATGTTGGCCTTGCTTTTCCATAAGGCAATAAAAAAAACAGTCTCAACAGAGGTTGCCAGTTATAACGTGTATAGAAATGGAATTAAGAACGTTGGATGACGCAGAATCAGTTCCATAGGGACCCTCCCACCCCCATATTTCCCGAGTTTTTATTTTCACCTTGCCTTCCTCTAGCCTCTCTCCTTAATTTTGTCCTGCCTGATCCTTTCTCCCAACCATGCCCTTCGGATTTTAAACGGGCCTCCTTCCCTACTTTCCCGTGTTTTCCTTCTTTCTTACCATCATGCTTCTGCATTTATTTTCTAATGACTTGGTACTCTGTCTACAAATATTCATTAGAGCTGGAAGTCACAACCTACCTTCTCCTCTGATGCATCAACTGCATATGAACCAAGTTCTGTGAGATTATTTCCTTTTCCTTGAAACTCTACCCATCACCCTTCTGGTGAATGTAGTTAAGTACCTTTCCCCGTGTCCTGTTTATTACAGGCTGAGTGTTGCGTCACCTGCTCATGCATACGACCTGCAATCTGAAAACGTAAATTCTGGTAGAAACTCTTGCAGGGTGTAATCTGTTGGCCTAAGAGGTTCAAATTTCTTTCATTAGTCTCTGTTTGTTCTTTTTTAAATTTTTTTTAAACTGATTTTAGAGAGAAGAAGGGAGAGGGAGAGAAAGATAGAAACATCAATGATGAGAGTCATTGATAGAATGCCTCCTGCACGCCCCCTACTGGGGATGGAGCCTGCAACCCGGGCATGTGTCCTGACCGGGAATCAAACTGACCTCCTGGTTCATAGGGTGACGCTCAACCACTGAGCCACACCAGCTGGGCTTCGCTGTTTATTCCTAAAACATTTTCAGCAACCTGTTTTGCACGAACACCATTAAAGTTTTCTTTTTTCTAAAAGCCTTCCTTGATTCTTTTGCCCCTTTTTTGTGCTTTCTACCCTCACTTGGCTCCCCACCATCAGCTGTCTTGAGCCTAAAGTACCCAGAGATCACATGCAGCTTCCAAGATGGTGCCGAAGGATCCTGCCTTGTTAGTCACGCTCTTGTGTCATCCCACCCCCTGGGTGTGGGCTGCACCTAGTGTCCTGCTTCCAACATATAGAATATGGCAGAAGTGATGGGATGCTACTTTGGAGTTTACATAACAAAAGTTACTCCCTTTCTTGGTTTTTCTTGCCTACTCACTCTAAGAGAAGCCACCTGCCTCACTGTGAGCTGCTGTATGCAGAAGCTCACGTAACAAGGAAATGGGTGAGGCCTCTACCAACAGTCAGCAAGAAACTGAACCCCACCAACAACCACGTGAAGGAGCTTGGAAATGACTCCTGCAATGAAGCCTTCAGGTGAGATGCCCCAGCCCTGGCTGACATTCTCACTGCAATCTTGTGAGAAACCCAGAGCCAGAAGACCCAGCTAAACTGCCCCCAAAATCCTGACCCACAGAATCTGTGAGATCACAAATGTTCGTTATAATGTCACTTCATTGGGAGGTAATTTATTACACATCAATAGATAACTAATATACATGCTATTAGAAATCTGATTTATATATATCAGACTTTTTTCATTATCCGATGTAAGTAGTGATAGTGTTCTAATGAAAGAGTCAGCTCTATTTCCCCGGGACCCAGCATAATGCCTGAACCATGATATTGGCTAAAAAAATATATTTATTGCATAAATGATCTAATGAGCACTTTCCAGTTCTCTAAAACTTCCTTAATCACCACCACTGCCAATGAGTTGGGGTATCAATTGAGTTCTGTCTGAGTCTGTCCAGGCTTCTGTAACAGAATACCATAGACTGGGCAACTTGTAAAGGCAGAATTTATTTCTCATAGTTTTGGAGGCAGAAAGTTCAAGATCAAGGCCCTGGCAGTTTCGGACTCTGGTGAGGGCCTCCTTCATGGTTCATATGGTCATCTTCTCGCTGTATCCTTACATGGTAAAAGGGGCAAAAGACTTCTCTGGGGCCTCTTATAAGGGCACTAGTTCAATTCATGAGAGATCTACTGTTTTGACCTCATTACCTCCCAAAGGCCCTGCCTCCAAATATCGGCACACTGGGCATTAGGATTTAACATACAAATTTGGGGAGAACACAAGCGTTCAGTCTATAGCAGGTTTGTTGGTGACTGACTTAGGTAAACTTAATCAGGAGAGCTATCTATTGAAAGGGTAACAGGTAGCTCACAGAATTGAGGAAGGCTAGGGAAGGGTGTTCAGTGAAGGCACGAGCACCCAGAGTGGCTACAGTCTGTTGAAGCTCAGTGAAGTTCCTGCCCCGGGGACACTGATCAGGACATCATATTGTAGGAGACTTGGGCTCTGCTAGACTTTGGATTCTCCCACGGCCACTGTGCATGATCTCTTGCCATTCTGGAGTTGTGCATTCTTCCCTGAAGACCTCAAGTTCAGAGTGGAGTTATCAGTTGACTGAGCTGAGGTCATATGCCTGTGCCCCCTGCCAGGGTACAAAGGCAAGGACTGTCTGCGCACCTTTTGGTAGACTGAGGTGAGTTCCTACCTCCCTTCGAAATCACCCAAGTACTACTTCCCCAAATAGGAAAGAAATCAAATGCTGGGGAACCAAAAGTGACAAATGATCATGCCTCCACATAGTAAATGAATTCTTTCTAAGTTCAATAGGAAACCCGCCCATTAGAGGAGCAGCTTTCATCAGAGAGAGCTTTAGTATTTTCTTTTAAGGAATTTTGTTTTTCTTTTTTAAAACTTTCTCAACTAGTGGGTTCCTTTTTTAGCACAAACTTTAAAATAATAAGCCATGTATAAATATTAACTACTATTTCTTTCCTGCCACCCACTTGCCATCTATTATAGCCCAGTTTCTACTCAGATGTGTGAAGAGGGAAAAGGGCAGGTTTACATGTTTTCTTTCCTTGGGTATGAAAAGGCCTAGATTACCATTTTTTAGTCTAATGAAATAAATTTACAAAGCACCGGGTGCTGAGCCTGGTACCCACTGTAAAGTCAATGAATGGCATTTCCCTTTGCACCACGTGTTTTTCCACGTGTAATTGGAGTTTTTCTTGCTGTAGTTTCATAATGGTACCCTTCGCTGTGGAACTAATTATAAATATTAATCTTCTCCTCTCTTACCTATATTTGTTAATTATTTTCAGCCCCAACAGAAAATCACCCACTAATCATAATCTTCATAATCTGGATTTTTTTCTTTCTATTACTTGCAATTTTGCTGGGCCTTACTTCTTGCTTGTTTCAAGTTTCTGGAACCTTCTGGTGGAGCTGGAACATCCCACTAATGGCCCCCTTTGCTTGTTTTCCTTGATTTTCCTTGCACTCCTTCACCCCCATCTTTGCTTGTGTCGGAATGTCTTTATTTTTCAAGTTGCTCACTTTCTCTACTTGTCTTTCCCTCTTCTCATCCTCTCTTTGGGCCTTCTTCAGTCTTTATGCCCAACTACTCTACAACTTCTTTCTTGGCTCATTGAGTGTGGATCTGGTATGTCTTTGGTGAAGTAGCAGCTGAGGAGACTCTGGCGCTCACCATGGCCAATGAAAAGCCCAAGGATTTGCATTTTTTACAACTAAATGGTCAATGATATGTTTTGATCGACATCAAATGGAGACCGGATGGGGAAAAACACTGGTTCTGTGAAAATACCCCCTTTCTCCATAGTGGCATGCCCATTCAGCTCTTACCTTTATATTACAGTAAGGTATCTTGCTCTCAATGTTTAACAAAAAAAGAACAACATGAAAATCCTTGCATACCTTGATCAATTGGAGAATTTTAATGTTTTTCATTTATCATTGTAAAACCAAGGACAATTTTATAACTTTTTTTTGTACGTAGCTGTTACATGTAGGGCAAACTGTCTTTAAGTAGAGATAAAATGCTCTAAAAGAAATGAGTCCTAGATAGTTATCCCTTCAAGTCAAGCATCTTGTTGTTTAAAGAAACTTCTTGTTTAAAATGAAAAAATAAAGTAAAAGTTCTTCCTCTGTGTCTTCTCATATTCGACCTCATATCTACACCTCTATCTTAATTGAAGAACTCTCTAAGACTATCTCTTTTTCTGCCTATTTTGCATCGTATGAACTATCATTTTTAACCATGCATCATTAGTTCAGCTTACACTTACTACATATTTATTCCCTTTCTAGAACTGCATGAGTTGCTAAGGAAACCAAAAAAAATAAAACGTAATTCTTCCTTCAGGAGCTCAAGGTCCAGCAAAGAAGGAAAACTTCTTAAAAAAAGATAAGCACAATCCTGAGAGGACAGTCAAAGGGCTGGACGGCACAACAAGTGGAGAGCTAGATGCTGCTTGAGAAGATTGAAGCAGGCTTCACGGAGGAGGTGATGTTCAACCTGGGTCCTGAGGGATGAATCGGGTTTTGCCAGGAGAAGTGGGGAAGCTGTTTCAGGCACGCAGCTGAATAAAGTCAAGCTTTGCGAGTTGCTCAGAAGGGGATCAGGGGAGTTTGAAATCCAGCCCACGCTGGGCTTGTTCCCGGGCCCAGGGCTGTATCAGCCCAGAGGAAGGAGCTCAGCACAGCACGAGTAGAACAAAAGCGCATGATTTAAAGAAGGCGACGCCGTGCAGGCTATCATTTTTGCCCTTTGCTTCTGTTCTCTGAACCACGACTCACAAGCCTTTCCAAATTCAGATTCTTCCCGGGTGGTGTGTACAGCAGACGAGTGGACGGCCTTGGAATCTGCAGTGTTTCCAGGCCCACGGGGGATCTCATCCTTTTCTTTCTTGCATTTATAATGTTCAGTGCTCATAATGGCAAACAGTCTCCTTAGCTACACAGATATCTCTTCTTTAGCTACTGTTTCCAAATAAATGTTTATTGCCCTTGACTTAACAAGTTCTTTTTTTTCTTCTTTACCTACTTTTTATGTTGTTCTTCCAAAAAGAAGCTTTTGGAAAAGTGGCTCGTTTCTAAAACACACACACACGCACTCACACTCAAACATACCCAGACTTTGTGGAATTTCAATAAACCGTCCATCGCTTTAGACTTGAGAGCGATCTAAGAAGCATGAGAACTAAATGTATTCCTCTTATTTACTGATTCAGAAACAAACTCTCAGATGCTAAGGGATGTGCTCCAAGTCATGGCATTAGATAACAGAAGAATCATCTCCAACAAGAGTCGTTGTTGATGTTTCCATGTTGTTGATGAATCATTTGGTCTTCATATCAGAGACTTAATATGAGATATTTTTTCTTGCTACCTTTTTTAATTTTTAACTTTGGACTCTCTGAAGACCTAGGGAATTAATACATATTCCAACAAGTTTCCCTTTCTGTCTTTCCTTTTTTAAATATTAATTTTCCTATTACCAGTTTTGTTTTGTTTTTCATATCACATCTCTTTCTGTGATGGCTTCTAATTTGCTCCCCGATTGCTTTGCCAGTGCCACGTTGAGAACGTTCTCAGACTCCTCCAGCACGATCCTGCCTTCTGCCTGGGCTGAGCCCCTATGTTTCCTCTTTCATCCACTTGCTGGCATCCTGACCACCTTCTTGCTGCTTTGCTGACCCTCATAGGGGGCACCAGAGAAAGGGTCTCCTGTAAGACAGAACTCCACCCCCACCCTTCATTAGCTCTAGCCCTGCTGTTCGTTCTTCAACAGAATTTGTATTCATCTTTTTAGAGACATCCACACTAAGTCTTAGTTTTTAGAAACAGTTTGGGACAGCATATAAATATGGCACTAATGAGTACACAACTTAAAATATACATGTGGTTCTCCTGCCACAATAACATCCTTATATTTATTACTTTCTCCCTGCGGCCCTGGAACTTCACCTTTATAAGATCCACTTCAAGTGGCCAGAGCAATCTTTTAAAAATAAAAACCGGGTCATGTCACTCCTTGTTAAAAATTCTCCAGTGCTCTTCCATTGCAATTAGACCGCAATCCAGGCCCCTTGCCACAGCATATATGGCCCTGCAGGATATGGCCCCTGCACCTCTCTGACTTCCTGCTCTTCTACTCGCCTCTCCTGTCTCACTGAGCCTATGCTGCACTGACCTTTCTATTTCTCAAACACACCAAGCTCCTTCTTACCTCAGGGCCTTTGCACTGACTGTGCTCTCTGCCTGGGAGGATCAGCCCCCAGAGCTCCGCCTGGCTGCTCCTCCCAGTATTCAGCACCCTCTGCACTTACTCTCTATTCCATCACTTCTGTTTTCTTCATTGTACTCAACCACTACCTAAAATTATCTCGTTCATTTCTTTGCTTGTTTATTGCTATTGGTATCCTCCCCCTGGAAGAGCACTGTCCAGAGGAACTTTCTGCAGTAAGGGAAATGTTCTCCATGCTGCACTATATGGTAGCCAGTAGCTACATGTGGCAATTGAGCACTTGAAATGTGGTTAGTGAGACACAAGTATGTTTTGTGTGGCTTTGTCTAAGAAGCCAACAGAATACTAGAAAACATCAGAAAACTCTTGTATAAAAGTCATGGAGCATCTATTGCTGAAATATTACTGTAATTCTGGTGGCTCCACTTTAATAAAAACCTAACAGAGCAGGGACAGGTCAAGGGAAAGGCAAATAAAATAAAGTGATGAAAGAGTTTCTGCAGGGCAATGCTAGCCCAAAGAGTGCCTTGGTGTGAATTAGATGGAGGGGTCATCTTTAGTGGATATAGCCCCCAGCCTCACCCCTTCCTTCGAGAGTATCAGAGGAATCTAAGCTAACACTTACCTCCTCAGCAGGCTACTTTGTGCAGGGCCAGTCTGCACAATTGCAAGAGTTGCCCAGTATTTCTTCAGCCTAGAATGTTTTGAATGGTGGGCAACTAGTCACATAAAAATGAGA